GCAGTCCATCCCTGGGCGACGAGAGCAAAACTCGATCTCAAAAAATAAAAAAAAAATTATCTGGACGTGCTGGCATGCAATAATAATCCCAGTTACTAAGGAGGCTGAGGCAGGAGAATTGCTTGAACTCGGGAGGTTGGAGGTTGCAATGAGCTGAGATTATGCCACTCTACTCCAGCATGGACAACAGAGTAAAACTCCAGCTCAAAACAAACAAACAAACAAACAAAACTGCTAGAGGTTTTTTGAGCCTAGGAGACAGCATTTCAGTTAGGGTGTCCAGGAAAAATCTCCCAAAATGAGAGACATCTGAGCTGAGACATGAATGTTAAGAAGGAGCCAACTCTACAAAGAGAAAAGCTCACCTGGGAATGAGCTTAATGGTTCGAGGAACGGAAAAGAAACCAGTGTGGCTACAGTACTGTAGTGCAGGAGTGGAGCTGGAATGAGATGAGGCCAGAGAAAAAGACAGGGGCCAGATCAAGCATGGCCCTGTAAACCACAGTAAGTCCTTTGGATTTTATTAAAAGTACAATGGGGCTGGGCACGGTGGCTGATGCCTGTAATCCCAGCACTTTGGAGGCCAAGGTAGGAGAACCGCTTGAGGCCAGGAGTTTGAGATCAGCCTGGGAAACATAGACCCTGTCTACACACACACACACACACACACACACTAGCTGGGTGTGGTGGTGTGCACCTGTGGACTCAGCTGCTCGGGAGGCTGAGCTGGGAGGATTGCTTGAGCCTGGAAGGTTGAATGAGGCTGCAGTGAGACAGGATGGTACCACTGCACTCCAGCTTGGGCAACAAAGCATGACTCTCTCTCTCAAAAAAAAAATTATAAAAGACCACTCTAGCTACTGTGGGAAGAATGGTTTGTAGGGACACAAAAGCAGAGGCAGGGAAACTAGTACTGAGGCTAGTACAGTGGTGCAGTGAGAGATGCTGGATTCTGGTAGTCACAGTGCAGGTGGAGACAAGGAGACAGACACAAGATACATTTTGGGGGTAAGCCAGGAATGAGGAGCAAGGTTACATGCATAATATGCATAGCTAAATTACAGCTAAAGGCTTTCTCTCCCCACCCACAGCCACAGCTTGCTCTTACCTCCAAATCCATATATATTGCACTAATCGCCACCTTGATGCCTTGTCTATAGATAGTCTTCTGGTCCTTTCTCAGCATCTGCTCAGTGGTCAGTCCTAGAAAGCAGACATGAGACTAGAGGTTAAACAGGGGAGGCCACAGTCCCAAGACCAAGAAGGTCAGGACAGCCAGATGGGTCAAGGAAGGAAAAGGAAAAACATAACCTCTCTTTGGGGCAATGAATGCGGGAGATAATTGAAAATGTAATCACAGCTGGGCACAGTGGCTCAGGCCTGTAATCCCAGCACTTTGGGAGGCTGAGGTGGGCAGATCACCTGAGGTTGGGAGTTTGGGACCAGCCTGGCCAACATGGTGAAAATGCTAAAAATACAAAAAGTTAGCTGGGTGTGGTGGTGGGTGTCTATAATTCCAGCTACTCAGGAGGCTGAGGCAGGAGAATCACTTGAACCTGGAGGCCACCTCAAAAAAAAAAAAAAGAGATAGAAAATGTAATTACATAATCAAAAATCATCTTAAATAATTGGTGACAATAGTTACCTTTACAGCAAGGAACTTTGGAGAGAAGGGCAAAACCCAGAACAGAGGCTTTTACTTTTGATTTTTCCCCCTTCCTATACTGTTTGCATGTGATTTCTTTCTGTTTCTTTCTTCCTTTTTATGTCAACAGGTGGTAGCTGGGTAGAAGAATATGGAAGTTCTTTTGTGCTCTTTCTTTCTCTTTTGTATACTCACAAAATATTTCTTTTGCCTCCCTAACCAATTCTATAGATTTCACTCTGATAATTTAGTACACTCTTAGCATATTTCATTTATATGTCCTCCATTCTCTGAATAGATTAGAACCTCCGAGGCTCTTTTTTTTTTTTTTTGAGATGGAGTTTCACTTTTGTTGCCCAAGCTGGAGTGCAATGGCGCGATCTTGGCTCACTGTAACCTCTGCTTCCTGGGTTCGAGTGATTTTCCTGCCTCAGCCTCCCAAGTACCTGGGATTGCAGGTGTGCACCATCACACCCAGCTAATTCTTTGTATTTTTAGTAGAAACAGGGTTTCACCATGTTAGCCAGGCTAGTCTCGAACTCCTGACCTCATGTGATCCACCCGCCTCGGCCTCCCAAAGTGCTAAGATTACAGGCATGAGCCACTGCACCTGGCCCCTCTGAAGTTTTTTTTTTTTTTGAGATGGGGTTTCGCTCTTGTTGCCCAGGCTGGAGTGCAATGGCTTAATCTTGGCTCACTGCAACCTCCACCTTTTGGGTTCAAGTGATTCTCCTGCCTCAGCCTCCCAAGTAGCTGGGATTATAGGCATGCACCACCATGACTGGCTAATTTTTGTATTTTTAGTAGAGACAGGGTTTCTCCATGTTGGTCAGGCTGTGGTGGGCAGATCACCTGAGGTCAGGGGTTCGATACCAGCCTGGCTAACATGTTGAAACCATGTTTGTACCAAAAATACAAAAATTAGCTGGGCATGGTGGTGGGCACCTGTAATCCCAGCTATTTGGGAGGCTGAGTCAGGAGAATCACTTGATCTTGGGAGCTGGAGGTTATGGTGAGCTGAGACTGTGCCACTGCACTCCAGCCTGGGCGACACAATGAGACTCTGTCTCAAAAAATAAATAAATAAAAAGAATATAATGAACAAAGCTTGCCTTCCAATTTTCCATCTGCGAGGTAGAAAAGGCAGTTAATGCTTCATACCTGATACATCAAACTTTGCCTTTTGCAGGGAATCAAAGATATCATTTCTCTTGGGTAGATCTGGGAAAAGGGCCTCTAGTTTCTCCACATATTTGCTGTCCTTTGGGGTTGCCTTTCCAATTTTAAGGTCCATGTTGACACAGTCCAGGACGATGGTTCCTGTGGAGAAGGGAGATGGTGGAACTTGAATCCTGTGACCCTCCACACACGCCCACCAGAACTTACATAACCTTCACGCCAAATGAACACAATACAGTTATTTGTACAGCAAATTCTCTGAAAGCAAAATGAGAAACTGGGACTGCCTGTGTCCTGAGACCTCTCAAATCCAAACTAAAATGTAGGTAGGGAAATGGGGAAAAGGTAGAAAGAAAGCCTGAGCATCTCAATCCTTGGAGATTTTACAGCCTAGTCAGAGAGAGATACACCTCTTCAGTAGGCCAAATCCCATCAAAGAATCCTCTAAGTTGGAAGAGACAGTCTAGTCCAACTCTCTCTCTTTTTTTTGTAAGTGGAAAAATGAGAACAAGAAAGGTTAAGAGATTTTCTCAAGGTCACCTCACTATTTCCTGGAGGAATTGGTCTTAGAATCTGTTTCCTGTTGCTTTGGCGAGTCCTCCTTCCATCATAAAATGATGCCAACAGGAAGCTTCTTGGTCTGTTGCCCTGTACTCTCCGCAACAAGTATCCCATAGGCCTTTAAACAGATGCTTAACTGTCTCCCAAAAGAATCCCATCCTTTGGTATGAATTGAATGGCTCTGAGAGCATATGGTTAGGCTGGAAGAGTCTAGACTTTTCCACCCTCCCATCTCAGGGATAGGAATAGAGCTACTCAGGTTCCATCCAAAAGCCACCCTCACCATGCAGAAGGGCTGCAGTTTGCCTGTCCAAGATCTCTGGTGCCCCCTGCAGGATTCTCTCGGTCACCAGGGTAGCGCAGGACCCCACCAGCTCAACCGAAACATGGCAGGGAGGGCAGTGTTTCTGCTCGATGGGCCGATGGTCTAGCACCTCTGCTACGGCCTCCTCTAGGGCTTTGTCACTTCTGCGGAGGAGAGGGTACGGGAAAAGAGAAAAAAAGATAGGTAGGGACACTCCAGCTGCTTCTAACCAATCTCCACCCCACCCATCAAGGAAAGCACAGATGTCTAAGGCAAGCTTTTTTTTTTTTTTTTTTGAGACAGAGTTTCACTCTTGTCATTCAGGCTGGAGTGCAATGGTGCTAGCTTGGCTCACTGCAACTTCCACCTGTTGGGTTCAAGAGATTCTCCTGCCTCGGCCTTCCAAGTAGCTGGGATTACAGGCCCCCACCACCACGCCTGGCTAATTTTTTTGTCTTTTTGGTAGACATGGGGTTTTGCCATGTTGGCCAGGCTGGTCTTGAACTCCTGACCTCAGGTGATCTGCCAGGAAAGCATTTAAAACTGACCTTTGGTCACTTTTACCTCTGCCCCACTCCTCTCAATTCTTGTCTTTAATGTTATAATTGGAGTCATCTTTAAATAGCGTATAAGCGAATTCTGTGAAGCATCTGCTACCAATATCTTACGCCCACATTTGCTGTCCTTTAGCGTTGCCTTTCCAGTCCTACCCCCTTGCTACCCAACAAATCTCTCCTATTTTTACAACCCACTCAACACTCAGATTCCATGTGGGTCACCAGGTCCTGTGAACTCTATCTTAATCCCTATCCGCGCCCTCATTTCTAACTCTGTTACTGCCCCGTTCTAGGCCCTCAATATCTCTGGTCTGGACTATTCCAATAGTCTCTTAACCAATCACCTGCATCCAACCAAACGCCTTCCTGGGCTGTCCTTCACAAAGTGGCCTGAACGAGCATTTGAAAAAAGGAAATCTGATTATTTTAGGACCCAGAATAAATATAATCTAAAATAGTTCCCCATTGCTTAAAATAAAATCCAATCTACTTAGAAGGGCCTACAAGGCCTCCATAATCTGCCTGCTGCCTGCCTCTGTCTCATCTTTTTCCATGTCCTACTTCTTCCTCAGATTTTATGCTCCAGCTGTGCAAAACAAATTCTAGTTCCCCTGGCTCACCACGCTATTTCATGCCTGCCTGCATTTGCTTCTGTTCATTACTGCCTCTGCCTGGAATGCCTTTCCTAACCACTTGCCCTCTTCCCTCCCCATTCACCAGGCAAACACCTAGTCCTCTTTTAAGACTGAGATCAATGCTCGCTTCAGCAGCACATGCACTAAAATTGGAATGATACAGAGAAGATTAGCGTGGCCCCTGAGCAAGGATGACACGCACATTTGTGAAGTGTTCCATTAAAAAAAAAAAAAAAAATATATATATATATATATATATATATCTTTAAAATAAAAAATAAAATAATTTTTTTTTTTTGAGACAGAGTTTCACTCTTGTTACCCAGGCTGGAGAGCAATGGCGCGATCTCTGCTCAGTGCAACCTCCACCTCCTGGGTTCAAGCAATTCTCCTGCCTCAGCCTCTCGCGTAGCTGGGACTACAGGCGTGCACCACCATGCCCAGCTAATTTTTGTATTTTTAGTAGAGACGGGGTTTCATCTTGTTGACCAGGAGGGCCTTGATCTCTTGACCCCATGATCCACCAGCCTTGGCCTCCCAAAGTGCTGGGATTATAGGCTGGGATTATTGGCCACCACGCCCGGCCAATAAAATAAATTTTTAAAAAGACTGAGATTAAAGGTCACCTCTGCCAGGGAAATCTTCCCTGATGTTCTCGCCTTCCTTCTGGTGTGCTGAACCACTCCACCCTTCTTATACCTACTGTTCCCTAGAGCTGACAGTTATCACTGACGTCTAACACCCATTATAATGATCTGCTTGCTTAGTTCCCTCTCCTTGACTGAAAGCATAAAAACCGGGACTCTGTCTCAACTTCATCCCTTAAAGAAACGTTTACTACTAGCTCGGTGTGGTGGCTTAGCATTTTGAGAGGCTGAAGTGGGAGGATCATTTGAGGCCAGGAGTTCAAGACCAGACTAGGCAACAAAGCAAGACCCCTATCTCTACAAAAAAAAAAAAAAAAAAATTAGCCAGCCTGGGCATGGTGGTTCACACCTGTAATCCCAGCACGTTGGGAGGCCGAGGCGAGTGGATAATTTGAGGCCAGGAGTTCAAGACCAGCCTGGCCAATATGGTGAAACCCCATCTCTACTAAAAATACAAAAAATTAGCTGGGTGTGGTGACACATGCTTGTAATCCCAACTACTGGGGAGGCTGAGGCAGGAGAATCACTTGAACCCGGGAGGCGGAGGTTGCAGTGAGCTGAAATTGTGCGACTGCACTCCAGCTTGGGTGACAGAGTGAGAATTCATCTCAAAAAATAATAATAAACTAAAATAAATTAATTAAAATTAAAATTAAAAATAGAGTTGCAGGCCAGGTGTGGTAGATCTCACCTGTAGTCTAGCACTTAGGGAGGCAGAGGCAGGAAGACAGTTTAAACCTAGGAATTCTTCTTTTTTTCTTAATTTTAATTTTTTTTTTTGAAATGGAGTTTTGCTCTTGTTGCCCAGGCTGGAGTGCAATGGCGCGATCTCAGCTCACCACAACCTCTGCCTCTGGGGTTCAAGCAATTCTTCTGCCTCAGCCTCCCAAGTAGCTGGGATTACAGGCATGCACCACCACGCCCAGCTAATTTTGTATTTTAAATAGATGGGATTTCTTCATGTTGGTCAGGCTGGTCTCAAACTCCCGACCTTAGGTGATCTGCCCACCTTGGCCTCCCAAAGGGCTGGGATTACAGGTGTGAGCCACCACGCCTGGCAAGCCTAGGAATGTGAGACCTGGGCAATATAGCAAGACCGTGTTTTCTAAAAAAAATTAATAAATAAGTACAAAAATAAATTTGAGCCTGGGCAATAGAGCAAGACCCTGTTTTCCAAAAAAAATTAAATACAAAAATAAATAATAAACAAAAACAAAATTGCAAACATTTTTCTAAGGTTTCTATTATAATATTACAATAAAACTGTCTCAATCTTTTTTTCTTTTTTGAGACAGGGTCTCCCTCTGTCTCCCAGGCTGGAGTGAGCCACCAGGAGTGAGCCACCACACCAATTTAAATTGGCCAGGTGTGGTGGCTCAGGCCTGTAATCCCAGCACTTTGGGAGGGCAAGGTGGGCAGTAGTTCAAGATCAGCCTGGCCAACATAATGAAATACCATCTCTACTAAAAATACCAAAATTAGCTGGGCATGGTAGTGCATGCCTGTAGTTCCAGCTACTTGGGAGGCTGAAGCAGAAGAAACACTTGAACCGAGGAGGCGGAGGTTGCAGTGCACTGAGATCACGCCGCTCCAGATCACAGTGACGTCATCTTGGCTGAATGCACCTCGACTTCTGGGGCTCAAGTGATCCTCCTACCTCAATCTCCTCAGAGACCACAGACATGTACTACCACGCCTGACCAATTTTTAAAAATTTTTTGTAAAGACATGGTTTCACCATGTTGCTCAGGCTGGGCTTGAACTGCCGAGCTTAATGGATCCAGCTGCCTTGGCCTCTAAAAGTGCTAGGATTACAGGCATGAGCCACCACACCCAGCCCACAAAATCTTAAAATAATGATACCAAAGGCAGATTTAAATGACTTTTGAGTTATCCTTTAGTTTGGACTTACCATATGCTATTTCTTTTTCTTATTATAGGGTACGTCTCTATGCCATAGACATACATGTAACTGCAGAACTGACTAATATTTTGATTTTCCATATCTGATATGACCTGTCAATTATGATTAGCCTATTAGATTCCTAAAAGCAAAAACTCTTTCTTCCTCTCATTATACCTCACTCATCAGAGCCCAACTGGTACATGATAGGTGTCAATTTAATTTCCTTGGGCTTACTTTGGTAAGATATGATGGTCGACAAGGATGAGGGTGAGCTGGCCAGCCTGGTGCAATGCATGGAGGTCAATCTCGTCCCGAAAAATCAAGATGCTCTCTGGAATATGAACCTTCTGAAGAAAGAAGACGATGTCACCTCGCAGAGGGAGCTCAGAACGTTTTATATTTAAAACCGGCACAAAGACTTCCTCGGCCTCATTTGTCTAGATAGGAAAGCAAAAAGATATCACAAAGTTTTATAATGCCAGGAAAAAGTAACAAAACTATTGGGATCAAAGGAGACATACTTAGGTAAGTTACCACCTTTCTCGAAGCCACAAGTACTCAGTCTATAACTCTTGAAGGATGAATCTCGCCCTTCCTCCTTCTTAGCAATAAATGAAGGTCAACAAGGAACTCACAGTAAGGGCCTAGTTCTAGATGCAGTGCTATAGAGAAGGAATTATTTAGTCGTCAAGGACTAACCTGGCGGAGGAATACACGCTAGATCATTGATACCGCTGAGGAACTCGGTAACACACTGTTTGAGTATCACTTTATGGTAGTAAATATATTTACTCAAAATATATTTACTCATTTTTTCCTCAGAGGAACACTGCAAAATATTTTAGATTTTATAGATGGTCGCATAAGACTCAGAAAAGTTAAGGGATTTAATTTACCCAACGCTAAAGGCTGGTAAGTGGCAGAGCTTGGCAGATCTTTTCATTCGAAGGGACTCAGATCCTAGGTGTTACCTTTTTTACCCACCTTTGCTAGGTAAAAAGCCAGGGCGAGAGCAGACACCATGGAGTCCAAATCACAGGCTTCATTTCCCAGCACAACATGTAGAGGTCGGGACTCCTGGCGAGGAAGGAAAATGGGAAACTAACAAAAGTATCTCTTCCATTTCCACTTATCATTTTGTTAAAAATAATATATATACTTTTGAAACAGGGTTTTTCTCTGTCACCCTGGCTGGAGTGCAGTAGCAGGATCAAGGCTCACTGCAGCCTCGATCTCCTGCTGGGCTCAGTCGATCCTCCCATGTAGCTGGAACTGCAGGCAAACACCACCATGCCTAGCTAACTTTTTGTATTTTTTGTAGAGATGGGATTTTTGCCATGTTGCACAGGCTGGTCTTGAAGTCTTGGGCTCAAGAGATCTATCCGCCTCGGCCTCTGAAAGTGCTGGGATTACAGGTGTGAGCCACTGTGCCTGGCCTCTCCATTGACCTTATACTCATGTAGGGCTTCATATACTTCCTCTCATTGATCTTCACAGAGGAGGTAGGTCAAATGATCTAATGCGTCCCCATTCCATGGATCGCTTTAAGTGTTTCAGCTAAGCTCATAGCATTTTACATATATCCAGTTTGTAGAAAAGTGTTCTTTCCTCCTGTGTCCTTGAATGTTAACTTACAGAGCAGTAAATAAACTTCTGATTTCTTAGACTTCTTTGGACACTCAAATAGTCAAAAAAGGGGATTTAGGGTACCTGATATATTCAAGGTATGCTTTTGGGTATATCAACCCTGGTTGATTTTTTTTCTTCACATTTTCATAATAGGGAAAAGAATGCTTACACTTGGGCTGGGCGCGGTGGCTCACGCCTATAATCCCAGCACTTTGGGAGGCCGAGGCGGGTGGATCACGAGGTCAAGAGATCGAGACCATCCTGGTCAACAAGGTGAAACCCCGTCTCTACTAAAAATACAAAAATTAGCTGGGCATGGTGGTGCGCGCCTGTAGTCCCAGCTGCTTGGGAGGCTGAGGCAGGAGAATTGCCTGAACACAGGAGGCGGAGGTTGCAGTGAGCCTGGGTAACAAGAACGAAACTCCGCCTCAAAAAAAAAAAAAGAATGCTTACATTTCTAAATCAAGAGAACAGGTGAAAAGGCTTTGATAATAAAGGTTAAAAATAAGATCTAGTCCATTATCCAGATGTCCAGGAAAACTCCCCTACTCTGAGGCCCAATGATAACCATATATAACCACTACCTTTCACAATCCAAGCAGACACTTTTCCCAGCTGGTTCAGATTAAAGTAAGAACAGTTGCTGCTGCTGGGACTTCTCTTTTTATTTTTTTAAATTTTGAGATGGAGTTTCACTCTTGTTGCCCAGGCTGGAGTGCAATGGTGTGATCTCAGTTCACTGCAGCCTCTGCCTCCTGGGTTCAAGTGATTCTCCTGACTCAGCCTCCCGAGTAGCTGGGATTACAGGTGCCCGCCACAACTTCCAGCTAATTTTTTGTATTTTTAGTAGAGGCGGGGTTTCACCATGTTGGCCAGGCTGGTCTTGAACTCCTGACCATAGGTGATCCACCTGCGTCCCAAAGTGCTGGGATTACAGGTGTGAGCCACCATAGAACTTCTCTCTTTAAAGCACTGAAAAGTCCAGCTGCTAAGAAGTCTGGGTGGGGGATACCTGCTATTTTTAAACAATTCCCTTGCAAATCC